GATGAGAGAAACTATTTTGGGTTTGTGAACTGGAAATCTCTTGTAGCATTCAGAATTTTTTAAATCAGAAAATAATACAAAAAAAAAAAAAAAAAAAAAAAAGAATTGCCATTTATAAAAAAAAAATGGTAATAAAAAAACAAAAAAAAAAAAAAAGGAACAAGAGTGTATACCCCTAAACAGTTGGAGTTGGAAAGCATCATCTTAGTTTTGCAAACATAAATGAAATTTCACAAATTTTCACCATAAACTGTGCTTACGTAAGTGTGCGGCAAAATGAGAATTTGCAATTCAACTCACAGAATTACAGCTAAACGCGTCTACAAGTGATTAAAACCCGAGAGAAATTCATTAAGTCTTGTCTCGGCAACGCCTGGTTGACTTGTCTAAAGTTTCAAGAATCATCAGCACCTGTTAGTCATACTAATGCCACACACACACACACTCCGTAAATGCGAAAACCACCCACTAACACACACACACACACATACTTGTTGACAGCGAACGAGCGCGCATTACAAATGGATGAGCGTGCATGCGTTGAGCTATGAGTTTTGCTCAAGTGTCAGCTTTTGTCATAAATTCTATTTTACTGCAATTTATTTTTCATTTTCTTCAATTTTTTTCTATTTTCTATTGCCACGTAAGGGTGTTCAAGTGTCGTGGCACGTGCGAAATTGTATATTATTAATCTAACTGCGTAAGTAATGAGCGAGCAAGCGCGATATTCAAGTATGCATGTCAGGCGCATTAGTTTCTGTGTGTATGTGTGTGTGTGCGTTGCAAGTGTAACAACAGCAATGACCTATGCGCTTTGCATTCCTGGACGTAGAATGCACATTGGCGCGCCTTAAACGCAGCCGTGGCAAGCCTTAAATGCCAAATGTAGCTAATTTCAAAAATTTATTTGTGCTTTTGTTTCGCTATAAATATGGCAACACCCGCAAGGTAATCAACATTTAAATAAATAAATACAACGAATATTGAATTAACCGTTATGCAAACAAATCGCATGAAATCTGGCATCGCTTCAAGCATATAAATAAGCGACTGGAATGTGTTGTTGTTGTTTGATTGGCCACTGCATAAATTTGCATATTTGCAATACATACATACAAGTATATACAATTTTATATTTAGTTGTGTGTGTGGCGGCAAAATTTTGTTCTCGCCGAAATGTACATAACATGTAAGTATGTATATTAGGTTAGGTTAGATTAGTTAGCCAATAAGCCACACATAGACTAGTTTGGTGCTTTGCGTTACCAGATGAAGTTCATCGTTCAGGATGCCTGCGCTTGACGCGACTTTAACAGACTCTGCGGCCTCACCATCGATACCGCCTCCAGTGTATCATACCGTGGGGAGCCTAGATGCTTAAAGCGTAGTTTTGAAGGACAAGTGCACAAGCGATGCTCCATGTTTCCCTGCCGGCGTGCTGTAGACATTTTTTGCAGTCTTTTCGTTCTGTCAGCCTCATCCTGCGGGTGTGTGTCAACACCAGACAGTGCCCAGTTAGTATTCCGATCAGTTTCTTCTATCGAGTGCCAATAGGAATTTTGTGCACTTCTGATCTACCGTTTTGCAAATGACTTTTGCAGTTTGGGACCCTGCTAACGCGTTCCATCGGATTTTTAGTTTCTATACTATGCTCTTCTCTCGCGATCGTATAGGCAAATCATGGGTTTTCCAATGTTGATCACGTTTTCGGTAGTCAGCCGCACACCATTCTTGGTATCTCGTCCACTATTTCATTGCCTTCGACGCTTTTGTGGCCTGGCACTCATTTGAAGTAAAGTTACTTGTTCCGTCCATTTTGTATCGCAGTTTTCAGCGAAGAGGTAAAGGTTAAGAGGCGAGACCGATTGTAGACCCTCAGACAAAGTTGTTCAGAATGATCCATAGAACATTTGCCGCACATGCTGTTTTTATCGTCTTTTTTTGGCTCCCTCTAAAACCACCCGCTCATATATATTTTTTAAGTCCATAGGAGCGAAATTGTTCACGGTACTAGGGATTAAAGGGTTCTGTTTTAATAACTGTGTACTATTTATCCAATTTTGTGTTGGAGTGAATCGAACAAACAAACGACATATACTAAACTAACCATGAGAGTGTTAATAAGCAACGATATTCCTGAAGTTTATTATAATGTCAAAACTTCGCCAGTGCAATGAAAAATTCCAACACAAAAATTCTTGAGAGCGTGATGACACAATTCATAATTTTACGAGTTCCACAAATTTAGCTCTGAGAATTGACCTTTTTGTAAGCGGCTAAAATCCATAAATCCAAACGTATCAAAACTTGTTGTCATGAGAATTCGATCCATTACATGCAAGCAACCGTAACACAATACCTCCTAATTAGCTACTTTCAAGCTCACACCAAGGTACTCTTTTAATACCCCTTTCTCTATGCTGCAACTTGTCAAAACAGCTCGTTCGTAAGCCTCAGATGACTTCACAGACAAAACTTTCATTTGTTCTCGATAAGATTTATATATTCTATAAAACAAAAATTGCACAATCAAGTAATGAATCAGCGAGTTATAGGCATCATCCGTCAAGATTCATATAATATATCCAAAGCGTTTTCATTGCGATTTATTAGTTCTGAAAACTTTTCATTACATGGTTTGCCTCGGGTAAAAAACCACATTTTTTGAACATTTTTTTCTCATATAGAAAATGCAGTATTTTATAAGAATTTTTTTATTGTTATCAACATATACTATTAACATGAAAATTTTGAAATTTTTGGAAAAAAATTTCGGAAATAAGGTTCGACCGCGTTGACAACATAACTCCTCCAAGTATCATCTAAAGTGCAAAAATACGTGTTTTAGTTAAAACTTTTTCCTAAGAACTTGGTCGAAAGAAAAAACACTGAAAATTAAATTTTTGACAGATATTTTTCTAAAAAAATATTATATTTTCAGTGAAAATTTCGACATCCTTCATCCAAGCCCTTTTTTTTTTTTTTTTTTTTTTTTTTTTTTTTTTTTTTTTTTTTTTTTTTTTTTTTTTTTTTTTTTTTTTTTTTTTTTTTGTATCTCAAAGATCTGAGTAAAGACATGAATATCGGTGGAGTAGTTCTCGAAAAATCTTACCAAGCAACTTCAAAAACCACAGCTTCGAGAGTAACGCGTTAAAAAACGGCGGTCTTATCGCAGCTGGCCTCGAGTGGCCAAAACTGTATCTCTGAAAGTATTGCTCGTATCAACTTGGAAATTTAGGACCACATTCTAGAGGTGTTGTAGAATTTAATAAGGCAATGAAAAAAAATCGATTTTTGAAACCCGTACACCCATGTAACCTTTAACATAGGTAAAATATATTTTGAGTCACAGAAACACTAAAAGTCATCCGAAAATGCTGATAAGTTATATATTATTATTATGTAGACACACTTTTAATTTAAGTTTTTATTGTTGTAATACTGAATTTTCAGCTTTTTTAATTCTAAATAATATAATTCTTAAAGGTGCTATTCTTCTCTTACAGTTATCTGCGAATTCTTCAGACTTTTAATGGTGAGCATTCTTTTTGCCACTTTCTCAACCAGAAGCTTCTTATTTGTCGGGACGGCCGATTTTCGAGTTGTCATGCAACTAAATGATCGGAATAAAGTACTTGTATGGAAAACTTTTTTATTTGACGAGTTATTCTGATGAAATTTGGTGTGGATTATTGCCTGAACAATGATGTAATTTCTGCAGAAATTGCTCAGATCGAATCACTATAGCATATAAACAAACTGTTCAGAGTTTTTGTAAGGAATATTTTGTATTTGTGAACGGTATTTTATAGCTACGGTGCAACCAAAGTAAACGTTTTTTTAGGGTTTCACTGTTTTGACCAACATTTTAAAGCATGATTTTTTTTTTTTTTTTAATAATAATGAAATATTTTACCACATGTAAAATATATAAAATTACAATTATTCCATCAAAATTGTAAACTCTTATCACAACGAATTTATGTATCTGAATGTATTAAGATCTGTCAAGTTTTTCCATCAAAATTCAAAGGCGCACATATGTTAAAAATTGTCGATGTATTTAAYTTTCTTCAAAATTGTTTGTTTGTTCTTGTGTTCATACTTTCACACGTTTGCCAAACAAATTTAATAGAAATGCGGTAATTTACTCATAATCCTTCGATTTGTAATTTTAAGCACACATTTTACATTGGAAAACCAAACAAAAGCAACTAAAATCAGATAAATCCATAATAATAGAAATAAACAAACACGACAATGCCTAAAAGCGATTATTGCGCGTTAATGCATATTAAATCGATCTGCCTACAAATAAAGGAAATAATGCAATAATGCATAAGTGCAAATATACAAATGTATGTACATATGTATATATATATTTGTATGAGTGTGGACAAAATGCACTTTCCGTAAACAATTTATATTATAATTAATTTCGTTCGATTTGTTCACGTAAATGTTACATTTTGTACAAATTGCATACAGCTGTACCTACATATTATAGGAGTAAATTTGCAAATACAGAGTGTTACAACAACTGATTTCAAGAGATAGCAATGTTTCATGCAAACATTTTAAGTTACGAAAACTGTTGTCTATATGACTCGCTGGTGAGAGCGTAAAGCTCGAGTGAGAGCTATCAGTTTTTATGAAACTTCAAAATTGACAAGTGCGTTGCTGCCAAGGTGTGTGTCTTAAGCGACATATTTCCATCATCAAGTATACTGGATCCATTTCCACGAATTGAATAATTTCATTATAGTCCCGTGTATGCTCATCCATTATTTCGAGACTATTTGATAACCATTTGCTCAAATAAAAGCCTGCACTTTGTAAAGCTTGCATCAATTTTTCGCGCAATTCTTTACCTTTTTGTATGGAGGGCTTACCAGTCATGAGATCAGCGATATACAAATTTTTATTATTGACGTCATATACGTTTTCATTGCCTTTGCAGTAAATGCTACCAATCTCCTGCAACTTTCTCACTGCTTCTATAAGATTTTGTTTTCTTCTTGTTGGAAACTGTTTTCTTTCTTTTTCTGAGTAGAGTGGACATATTTTACTGATATGCCTTTTTACAGTACTATCTTGTGTCTGAATGATTATCGCTCTCACCATTCCATCATAACCTTTATCTACTTATTTACATTTTTATTTCTATGGGTATTTTAACTGGATGAGAAGTCTCGTTTTTATTTTATCAACACAATTAGTTCTTCTTTAATATTGCTCATCGGTTTTTTCCATTTGTATCTTTGTTGTAAGGTATGCTCGTATTTCTCTTCAAATTCTTCCAAAATTTGTATTTAATTTTTTGCAAAAGACTCCATCTACCCAATATCGTAAAATTTATTTCTTATCACGGCGCCCTCAGTAAAAATCTTCTTTCCGAGAAACTCTCTTCAATTGACTATTTGATAGAAGATACGTCTGTTTTAACGTTCTACGATTTCAATACTATTGAGGCTGCTCTAAACTCATACTCTGTTAGTTTTGAGTTTCATTACTTCATGCAACGTGCTGTGGCACCCTATATATGAGTTTAGATGAGAATGCATTTTAATGCAAAATATAATTGTTTTGATAATTGCTACACAAAACTCATAAACGTCATCATTCATTGCACATATTTACGTGCTTATTTGAACACTGGTGCTTGCACAGGTGTTTAAACATATAGCACTTATACAAATCAGTGCGGCAAGTTATGGATAAATTTTATAATGTTCCTTATATAAAAAATGTATAGGAATAATGTCGCTAATAGAAAGAGCGTCAATAACATAGTTATAGAACTAATCTTCTATACAATAATCGCAACCTGTACATCGCTTTACTTAGCGATCGTCAAGCGGTACGAGTACGAAAAGCGATCTTAGCTTATGAAGTCAAATCGTTATTAGTGGAGTATGTATAGGAAGGCTGAACTCCCATTGCGGTAGGGTCTCACATCATAAAGGAATTGCTCCGCACGGAGGTGAGAGTGAGGAGAAAATGGCACTGGCAGCAGGCAACAGAAAGGCGCCACGCCAAGCAGCAATTGGAAGGTTACAACCTAGTTTAGAAATATAAACTTATCAACTTCCCTCGAGACACATTTCGTCACCTTGTCGCTCTCTATACTGTGCACTACAGGTTAAAAAACACTTGTCCAGCAATTTATAGAAACAGGCTCAAGGCCCTTGGATACGTCTACGTGGACAGAGGTCACATCATCTCCATGGCGCCCAGCAGGCTTATGGTAGTGTTCAGAATGCTGGACCTTTGTCACCATATTTGATGTGGGAAAGGGCACAATAGACCATAGGTCGCAGTGAAAACCTCAATGAATTTCTATCTATAATCTTATATAGTTATTGAACAGATACATATATTCTTCTTTATTGACGTAGATATCGCTTACGCGGTTATAGCCGAGTCAGCAACAGCGCGCCAGTCGTGCTTCTTTTTCGCTATTTGGAGATACCAAGTGTAGCCAGGTCTTTCTTCGCCTGGTCTTCTCAACGGAGTGGAGGTCTGCCTCCTCCTCTGCTTCCCCGGTGAGTACTGCGTCGAATACTCTCGGAGCTGGAGTGTTTTCATCCATTTGATATAGCCAACGTAGACGTTGTGTGTTAATTCAATGAACTATATCAATGTACATCTCGTACAGAGGGGACTTCACTTCTCAATTGCCTATTCACTCCGAAGTAGTACCTGTTGGTAAGAGATATTCTGCGTTGGATTTCGACGTTGGCATTGTTGTTGCTGTTAATAGTTACGACTGTCAACAGTGACGTGGAAGCCAAGTCGACTGTTTGTTTGATAACATGAGATATTTCGTCTTGCCCTTGTTCACTACTAGACCCATTTTCTTCGCTTCCTTATCCAGTCTGGAAAAAGCAGAACTGACGCCGCTGATCTTGAGGCCAATTTGTCAATATCATCGGCGTACGCCAGCATGCTGTACGCTCTTATAGAAGATTGTATCTGCTCAAATGAGCTCTGCACCACGAATTATTTTCTCTAGCAGTAGAAGTAGCCTTGTCTGAAACCTAGTTTGGTATCGAACGGCTCGGAGAAGTCCTTTCCGATCCTGACACGATCTTTAGACCGGAATTATGTTAAGTCCCCATTTCTAACCATAATTGCAGTGAAGAAGTTTGTAGAATTACTGCATTTGAACTCATAAACTGGATTTCAAAGGAAGATTCAACGGAAAAAATTCGACGATAGAGAATAGAGATGAATAAGACATTTTAGCTTGACTCAATATTGATAACAAGCCAACTTATTTGCGTTATAGTGCGTAACCCTGCAATTAATTGAAAATTACAAACCATTTAGTAGATTTACTATATGAGCGCGTGTATTTTATGTAAATTAATTGTATATTCTGCCAAAAAGCCGTTTGTCATACAATCTAAGTATTTACAAACGTAAAAAAAGGTATACAGTTATTATGCGACATACAACAATTGACACATTGTGACTAACAACACGACTGTACTGGAATATGTGGTACATACTGTATGCGTACCTGAATGATCTAATCAATTATTTATTGTCTGTGCTTTTATGAACAATTATCAATCATTTAACAACAACAAAAGGTGCATAGACTTGGGTATGAAATCAGACGTATTACTCAAATCAGCACTGACTAATGAATACAAAAGCCGATTATATTTCTTCAATGAGCCATTGAGTTGATTGAGAATTACTATGTAGTTCTTTCAGCGCAATATGTAATAAATGAAGGCTAGAAACAATCTCATGAAGGTGTGCAACCAGGTGGAGGAAAATGTTACTACTTCTTGCTCTCGTTAATAAGTTTGCATCAAATGGAAAAAAGAAGAAAACCGATAATTGATAGTTCTGGTAGATGTAGCAAAAGCAATTTCACACAGTGAAAGATAAGACAGTGTTAACGGTTTGTACTATATTGCCCCGCTTTTTCGAAGTACTCATCCATTATGGTAGGTTATCAAAAGGTATTCTCTGGCTAATCTAAAGCTACTAATTATAATCTAGATATGTATGTGCCACTATGTTAAACCGTTATGCACCGCTCAATGGCGTATTATGTAAACTAACACAATTTACTTTTTCGATTGTTCTCTAATTGCCAGCAGCAAAGTGGGGCGCATTGTGTCATGGCGGTGAGTCAGGTGTAGAGTAATGAGTTGTAGCCCACAGCTGTGTTTCGCCGCTATTGTCGCATATTCTCACTATTTATTGTTGCTTTTTTATCAACGACATTGCAGCATGTTGCAGCTATTTTATCGCACTCCCCTCTCTACATTCACTTTTTGTTTGCCTCCCCACAATGTGCAGCAAAAAGGTGTTGCCGCTGCTTTTTTGCATGTTTCACACTTTCAGGTGCTTTTTACTTGTTCCTTACATCTCTCAACATTCGTTTATTTTTCATCGATTGTTTTACGAGTATTTTCAGCTTATGTCGGGCGGTTGCTATTCGTTATTTTATTGGTATGCAAACTCAGAACTTTTCGACGTACGAGCGCTATTTGTGTTATTTACAGTAACTTA